TAAAGATTTTATCTCTAATATTTTTCTCAGCAATCACAATAGTTAAAATAACATTGTTTTTTCCAAAATCATTCACTTGCAATCTTGTTATGTTATATAAACCATATATGCTAGATCAATGTTTTTCAACAACATTATGAGATTATTTAGAATACCTTAACATTTAATGTTATTAAAAAATTCATATGTAAATGATTTATCTTACATTTCTTGATCTCATCTTATTAACATAATGTATCATAATTCAAATATATTTTTTATTTTGTCATCAAGTATAAAAAATAAAATAAAATTATTAACTTCTTTAAGTAAATTAATAATAGAACAAAATATGACTTTACCATCATAATTATCAATTGACATCAAGTTATATATAAAATGAGGATAGACAAAATCTAAAAAAAAAAATAGTGTCTATTATCATTTAACATTAAGTATACTTAAGTTATAAACTTATAAATCCACTATATTTTTTTTTCTATCCCATCTTATATCATCATTATGATAATGACAAACCTGCTAAATTATTAGCATATTTAATAATAAAAATAATTAATATGTGAAAGTCAGTTTAATTTTCGTGTATTGACCCTGTTAACTAGAATAATGATATAACAAATTAAATTTATTACTTACCCAGAATAGAAGATTTAATCTACTCTAGAATATTAACGATACGATATTTACTAAATTTGGCATTGTTGTATCTTCAATCTCAATTTTTTTTTCACATTTTTTTAGTTCAATAAATTATATACAAATTATTTTTTAATACTTTCACTATCACTGACTCAGTGAGTTTTCACATAAATAGATAAAATACAAGGTTTTCATTACATGAATTATCACCACAGTGCGAGTTTCACATAAAACAGATGAAATACAAGTTTTTCATTGCATGAATTATCACCACATTGTGTAAACGGTTCATTTAGTTGTTTTTTCCCTTTTGTCTTTGCTAACTAACACCTTAACATTTTTAATCTCGTTTAATTATCTTCCATCAATATAAGATCTACTTCAAGAAACAATTAATTTTATAATTTTTATAAATGAGTCAATATTTTTTCACTCAAAATCAACATAATTATTTTTTTAAAGTAGGTATAATTGACCTAGATTATTCCGACAAGGGTGAGTGCATGATGTTTAACAACTATTCCAACCAATCAAATTCATATGAATTATATATAAATGTTATATTTTTATCAATTGTTTAGTGTGAAACATCCAATTTTATTTTATTAATTTACATATAATTTAAATTAATATTTTTTTCATTTTCTTACTCAGCATTGATACTTATTTTAAATACTACTTTTGTACTTTTATTAGAACGTATATACAGTTAAAAAACTAGTTTTTTTTTTCAATTTAAATAAAAAAAATACAAACTCTTTTATATTTAATTAGAAGTAAACCTGAACAAACTGATTCTTTTTTTAGTTGGTCTATTGGGCTAATGTTGACCCAATAATATATTCTCTTTTATTATAATTTATCAGGCCTGATCCATATTTTATATATATAAAAAAAATTAAAGGATAGATACTACATTTAAAATTGTTTCTCAATTGCTCTGAACCTTTTGTGTCAGGAAATGTGAATACTTTATCAGACGATAAATACTAATATTCAATTGATAGCAATAGAGGTATACTGAAATAATAATAATAATAATAATAATAATAATAATAATAATAATAATAATAATAATAATAATTAAAATACAAATTTTATATTTAATTAATATACATTATTTATATCAGATTGATTATTTATTTTGATAGTCGAATTTACATTTTAAAACAAATAAAAAATTTAGTTTAATTTTATTTTAGGTCAATTTTGACTTAATTATATTATTTTTAATATTAACATACTTGTATAAGTTCAACTAACTAAAATAATATTTAAATAAAAATAAAACATAAAAATATATTTTGAAAATTAAAATTATATTAATGAAATTAATTTTATTTAAGATATAATTATTTAATATATAAATTATAAGGAAATTTATCTATTTAATCTTAAAATAAGAATTAGAAATTTATTTTTTATAATAACTATTTATTTTTTTATAATTTATTAATTTATAATAGTAATTAATCTTAATTATTATATCTTAGAACAAGTGATGGTTAAGGATTTTTTTATTTTTATTTTTAAATAAGTGAATATTTTGTCAAATTAATTTATAATACATATATATTTTTAATAAAGTAATATTATTTTTATTAAAAATAATAATTATTCTATAAAATGGATTTGTTCATAAGTCTATGAGATAACATTATCTAAGTCCATAAAGATCAAGACTTAAATAGACCTAATTTAATTTAGGTTATAAATTTTTTTGGGCACATTCTTTCTGCACTCCCATCATTTTTTCTTTCACCTCCATAATCCATGTAAAATAATCAAAATATCCTTCCAATAACTTTTATTTCAAACCCTAAGAGCTTCTTCTATTCCCTTGTGTATCTTCTGCACCTCCATTGCGTATCTTCTACATCTTCATAGAAATGCAGAATTGATTTCTTATGTTATGACCTTCATTCAAGATTGTTTTCAACCCTTAAGGTGAGTAATGGTTAATATTATGTATCTATTACATGTTTCTTGCATTGAAATTGTACACAGGGACCCAAAATTGCTCGATATGGAATTGTTTTTTGAAAATTAAAGTGAGTTTCTGAACTCCAAATCTGGAATGCATTATCGGATTAACTTTTTGGAAAATGTTCAGATGTTTTGATGGTTTCCTTTCTATGCAGTGTAATTTTCATCATGGTCAGGATTAGAGGAGATGATTCTCAACCCAGAGATTGTGTTCGCCCAAATACCTCTGTAAGGCGTAGGACTTGTGGGGAATCAAGTATTGTTAATGAGTATGAACATAATACGAAAGAAAATAGTGTTCATGAGGACTTATAAATACTTTTTTATTATCAAATATGAAGATCATGTAGCCATAGTTTATGAGAGGTGGTAAGTGTTGTCATATAAATGTATATTGTTAAGGTTCCAACATAAAACCAATTGACAATATGTGGAGTAGTCTAACATGTATTTAAACCATACCAAATGACATGAGGTAAGCGATGTGGGACTTTCAACACACCCCATCCAACGAAGCCTGCCGGACCAAACAAATGGTACTTTTGACCCAACTAAAGGGCAACTTTTGACCCATGACAATAACCAGAAAAATGTTAGGCTTTGGCTCTGATACCATGTTAAGGTTCCAACATAAAACCAATTGGCAATATGTGGAGTAGCCTAACATGTATTTAAACCATACAAAATGACATGAGGTAGACGATGTGAGACTTTCAACATATATAAATATTAATGTTATAAATTTTAAATATAACTATTTTTTTCTTATAGAATTGTGGTGAGTTAAAATGTGTTTTTCATCATAGAAAAATGAATAAGTTAGGGGTTTCACACCTGCATATTACGATTGTAATTTAGTTATTTAGGTTAGAAGTACTTGTGGATACTAGTTATGATAAATAGATTGGGGAATGCTATTTTCCTTTATTCATAGATGACATAGTGAGACTAATAACTTCCATCTACCCATAGTTGAGATGACCATTACACTAATGATGTGTCCTCATTATTACACATGTCAATTGTTGGCAAGTTTTGTGATTATATTCGCTTGAAAGCATGTGAAACTCTAGATGTGCTAGTAGAGTTCTTAGGAATTGATTTTGTTAATGACTTATGCAAAAATGAGACATTATAGAGATGAACATGTTCGTCATAGTTGATTACAAGAAGTGTACGATAATGCTTATATATAGGGATTGCAACTATGATCATATTTGATGTATTTTGTAGTTACACTATTTTTGTCAACTAAACGTAACACAACCTCAAACTCATTGCAGCAAATCATCCCGTATATCAAATATCAATAAATATAAAATTACTATATATGAAATTTATAAGATATGACATTAATATATAATTAAATTTTTACCTCATCCATTGTGAATACGTTAATATAATAAACTAAATTATCAAAAATGTGTTTCACTATATTATCAAAACCTATTAACATTTTAATTTCATCTAACATATTATTATTTAAAAAGTCTTTTTCTATTACATATGTAAACAAGAAGTTCAAAAATTACAAATTCAAGAGTGTATTATTTCTCGAACATATAATGGGGATCCAAAATAGAATTTTCAAATTTGATTTTCTGGAAACACATTCCAGAATGGTAGATTGGAACAAGATTTCTAGAACAAAATTTTCGGAAACATATATCAAATTGGTGGATCTAGAATTCACTTCCTTTTCAGATCCACTTTTCTGGAATGTATTTATGAAAAATCTATTTTGAAAATGTATTCTTAATCGTAATGTATTCTCAATCGTGTCTAATCTTATTCCTTAAAATTTAAAACAATTTGAGATTCTTATTTGTTTTTTGAAATTCTTGAAATAATAATAGAAAGAAAAATGAAAATGCTTGAGGCTTTAAAAACCAAATATTCAAAAGGCTTAAAAACAAAAATAAACAATTGCTAGTCTAAGATAAAGATAGAGGTAAACCTAAAATAAGATTTATTTTAATTATAGAGGTGAAGAAAGAAATTATTATGAAAATACAATTAAAAACATACAATTTCTTTTGTTTAATTTAACATATACCTTTAAAGCCTATTCATAGCACCTATTTTAACCTCCTTAACTATTTTATTAAATAGTTTCACTAAAGTTTTTTTTTTTTTACAATCATATTTAAATAAACCTTGTTATTAATTGATTGGCCTCAACATTGTTGAGAAACTAAACTTCCTTTAATAAAAAAACAGTTGACTTATTTTTTATTTATAATGGATTAATTAGGTCAACACCAATTATCTATTAATTTTTGTAGCATATATATTCAAACAAGAACGTGGGCAAATCGAATTAAAATTAATGAGAAAGTAACCTATCTACTCCTTCACTCATTCACAACTCAACAATGAGTCGCAAGCGAGACAGGTCTTACTGTCCCCCCTACGACGCCGGCAAGCGCCGCCGCCCCTTGCCGGAGCCTGTGGAGGAGGAGAGACCTACGGCGAGACCTGCACCTCCGTCCGCGGTGGTCGTAATGGGCCTGCCTCAAGACTGCTCTGTCCTCGATCTGAAGTCCCGATTCGAGATCTACGGCGCCATCTCCCGCATCCGGATCGACCGCGACGCTGTCGGCTACATTACTTACAGGGCAAAGGACTCCGCTGATGCCGCCATTGCCGCCGGTATCGACCCCTCCTTCGGAATCACTGTTAGCTCCAAAAAGGTGCTTACTTTGACCCTTTTCTGATTTAGGCTTTTCAAGTCCCCGTTTTTATTTTGATTGGTGAATGTTTAGGGTTTTGTGTAAAGTGTTTAGTATTACAAAACTGAACGCAATTGATGAATTTTCAGCTTAGGTGTTTTGAACTCGATAAAATTTCGGCTTTGAATTTGAAGAGGAGAATGAGAAAGCCTGAAATTGAACAAATTTGACTAGTTTTCTACCCAACTGTTCAGAATTTGGTAAAAGTTTGAACTTTAAGTGTGTTTGGATTAATGTATTTTAGTTAAAATTGATTTGGTAGGGAAGTGGGTTTACCTTTTCACCCAAGGCAAATAATTCCAAGTCGATTTTGAATCCAAAATCAACTTCAGAGTTCCTCAACAATACTGGTTATGATTTGATAAAAGTTGAAAACATGTTTTTTGAGAACTGCATTGTACACTCCCAAATTCTAAAGCACAATGGAAAAGGAAGAAGCTTTAGAGGTGAAAGAAATTTGTAGGCGATGAGGAACTAACATGTGCTCAATCCCGATCATTGTGTTAAAATACATACGATGTGTTTGGACTATCTTTTTCTTAAGGACTTTTAGGAGAAAATATTAAGAAGATAAATTTTCTATAAACTAAAATTAGGCTATGCATTAACTAATTTGTAGAAATTCCTTGTTCTAACTTTTCTAAGTTTTTATTTTGAATTTATGTATAAGTTAATTTTAGCTGATAGAGAAATTCATTTAATTTATTTTTTCTCAAAGTACTCGTGGAGAAATTTTCCAAGTAGACCCATAATAGGGTAGATTTGATAGAAGTGAATAGATTTATGAAGGGAAAGTTGAAGAGATTTTTGTGTTTAACAGGTTCAGGTGTTGTGGGCAACAGACCCTCTAGCCATGTGGAGGGAAGGAGTTGGCAATAGAAAGGATAAAGGGTATGTGTCAAAGCTTGTGCGTGCTGAGGCACCTTTGAGCAAGCATGGAAGAGGTAATAGACTTGCTTCAGCTTTAGGGAACACCAAACGTGGTGAGGATAGCTCAGGTAGTTCAGTTTTGCAAGTACCTTTCAAGGGCAGAGAAATTGTTGCTTATGATGATATCCTCTAACTATCAAAATCTGTATTCTTAGAGCCTTATTCTGTCTGTATCAGTGCTTTGAATTTGGCATTTAAATCTCTGTAGTGTTCTTGTTAAAATTTTTCTCAATGAATGAGCTTCTAGGAAGTAACCTGTGGAATTGATTGTTATGTAATGTAAATATTATATATTGTGTTGTCTTGCTTGCCCCTTGCAATTCTTTTTAGTTGAAACTGTAAGATAGTTCTTCTATGATTTGGATGGTTGTTCTGAATTTTTAAATTTTGAATAAACTCTTACATTAGCTGTTATATGAGGGTGAATATCTAATAATTTGGTTAAATTTTGATAGTAAAAAGGCATACAAATTTTATTCTTTTGACATAAAAGAGTTGTAAAAAAAAATGTTAAAATGTCTTTATTCTTGCAATTTTGCAGTCATTGAATCGTTACCATTGATTAAAATTTGAGGGTTTGTGGTTTAAACAATTAATTAAATCTTTGATTCTTTACGTGTTTTAATGTAAATTTTATAATTGGAACTAATTAAAATATAAAATTTCAATTATGTTTGAAAATTTAAAATTAATTTAATTATAACTGTAAAACAATGTCCAATAAACTGTATGAATTCAACAGTTCGATTGTAGGTTCTCTCTTTCTCTCTCTATATATATATAACTTATTGTAGTCCATTTATTTTAAATATTATTAAGGATTTTATGAATAATAATCACTAGCCATTTATAAGATATTTTACTTTAATACTATATGCAGTTTTTAATATTAAATGTTCAATTACATCTTTATTTTTTTCTTTCAAAGTATTATTTTGATAATGATTATACACTAGGCATTTGGACTAAAAGGCTAGACAAATTATTTTCAAATTAGTGAGGCAAAAAGATCAAATTTTAATTTAAAGGATAAAAAAGAAAGTAAACTCAAATTAAATGATTAAAATATATTTAACTCTACTTTTAAAATTTAGCTACTACCCTAAATCTTGTTCACCTTATTAAATATTATTTCCTTTCTTGTATCCTTACTTACATAAAAGTTCCTCCGCATCACTTTTATTATTTGAAAATGGCTTTATGGTTCAAAACATTGACAATTTTTAACCGTTATAATTAAAATAGTTAATCACATTAATTTTAAATTAACATAAGAGCTAGATTAAATTGAAAAGATAAAAGATTAAATTAATTTAAAAATAAAATAAATGAAAGAACAAATTGAATGAGTAAAGGCGCAAAGAAGGGAGAGATTGGTGGGATAACAGTGACATTGTCAACACCCTCGACAGACATGAAGTAACTCCAATTCAAAGCGGTGATGGAAGAATCCAAAAAACTAGAGAAAAAAGATGAATCAGAGCAACGTGTGTGGAGTTGGGGTGCTGGAACCGAGGGTCAGTTAGGAACCAAGATTCTTCAGGATGAGCTCTTCCCTCGACTCCTTCACCAACCCTCTCTTTCCTCCATCTCTTCCCTTGCATGTGGCGGCGCTCATGTCATAGCCCTGACATCTGGTATCAACGCTATCTCTCTTCCTCCATCTTTTCTCTTTTAATTTGGAATCTTTCTTGACGTTGGTATTATTTTAAATTAATAACGATGGCAAATTGTAGCTGGGAAGGCACTTTCGTGGGGTAGGGGCAATTCTGGACAACTAGGCCATGGAGAGATTGTGAGTAACGCTTTGCTTCCCAAGGCTGTAATGTCATTGGATGGCTACTTCATAACCCATGTCGCTGCTGGGTGGAGCCACTCAGGTTTTGTTTCAGGTTTGCACTCTTCTGGTTATACCTTCACTGTGTTTGTGGATGATGAGGTCACTTGGTATTCTGTTCAAATATATATATATTTTTTTTTCTTTTGATTTGTTCTTCTTGGATGGGTTACAGATACTGGGTGTGTGTTCACTTGTGGGGATGGCACGTTTGGTCAACTGGGGCATGGTGATTATGCCTCACACTGTTTGCCTGTCAAATTGTCATGCTTTGTTGATCAGCGTGTTGTGCAGGTTGCATGTGGAATGCGCCATTCCCTTGTCTTGTTAAAAGGTATTGGATTAGTTTGAGTTGGTGCCCAGAATATGTGTTTGTTTCTCACTTTGTTGTACTTTGATTTTGGTCCTTTATTTAGCAAAGGGCGTTGTGATGCAGATTGCACAAGAACCCAAGTTTATGGTTTTGGCTCTGGGAAGCGTGGTCAACTGGGTGTCGGTAACAATAAGGTCAAATCTGTTAATTTTCCTAGAGTTGTTAATGGCTTTGAAGATGATGAGATCGTTGGGATTGCTGCAAATGGAGATCATAGTGCTGCAGTATCTGGTAAGACCACCACTTTCCCCTTCATTATACGAGTGGCACTATTTTGTTCTCTAAATAGTTCTAATATCTTCAGTCGATGGGCATGCTTATACCTGGGGAAGAGGCTTCAAAGGCTTTGAAGATGCACACCTTCCTCATTGCTTAAACTCTTCATTGAATTTTATCAAAGTTACTCTGGGATGGAACCATGCTTTAGCTATGAGTGGTATTTCTTGACATTACATACCTAACAAATATTATGATTTCCGCATTTTTGTCAATTCATATTTATTTAGTGCATTTTGTTGGCATTTTTTTTTTTTTTCATAGCTGAAGGGGAGGTTTATATGCTTGGTGGAAACCACCCTGGAGTGCTTAATATAAGTCCCCCAGCCAAGCATTTACCTGGTAATGCATTTGAGTTAACCTTGAACTGTAAAGAAGTCATAATTTATGTACTTTCTTGTTTTATACATCTCTAATACTTTAGAATTTAACTTATTGCCATCGAGTTCCACGTTTTACTAGGTTTAAACTATCGATTTGCAGTCATAATCATACACAACCTTGGCTACCCTACTGATAATTATTGTATATTTAGTTAAATGCAAAAAAAAATAAAAAAAATCTTATCTTTTGTAATGTTCTCAATGGATTCGGGCGATCCAATGTGTAGAAATATTAGATCCTCACTTTTATAAAAAAAATTACTTATGTGACTCTGCATAAATTCATAGGTAATTTATTGGGGGAGAGAAAAAAATGCGAATTTTTGTCTCATGGAGAAGGTTTATATAGCATTATTGTTACGTTTATATTATGCCCTGTCATTGCGTGATATGTTGTAGAGTCAAGAGAAGTCAATTTGGAGAGAGTCCCCGGCCTTGATGGGATGAAGATTACTGATATTGCCACCGGAGCCGAGCATTCTGTCATCGTCACAGGCAAGATGTAGTTTTTTCGTTTTTAGGAGTTTTGAATCACAAAAGTTCTGACTTTCTGTCCTCCTATTTTCAGATAATGGAGAAATAAGGACATGGGGTTGGGGTGAGCATGGTCAACTTGGTTTAGGAGATACTTGCGACCAAATGAGTCCTGTTACAGTAAGTCTAGGCTATGATCTGAATGGAGCTGAATCAATTAAAGTTTTCTGTGGAAGTGGGTTCACGTTTGTTGTAACCATACCCTTGATTCTTCTCAAACTCTAACGTGAAGCATGTCAAAAGGAGGTACCATCAGGTTGGTCTTGTTCTGATATATTCCGAGCAAGTCTTTCTGCTTCTTACATATTATTTTGGATTGGCCCCCTCACAAATTTGAGAATTATGAAGGGAAATGAATATGGATGATCTCTTACTAAGGACAATAAATAAATAAATAAATGGATGATAGATGCTCAAATTTTTTCAATTGATGGACTATGCTAGAACTTGACAATGACATTCCCCGTAAGTGCAGTATAAGTGGGTGACCGCTCATATTATTTTTTATAGACTCAAATTTTTTGTCCATTTACCTGTCATTCTCTTAACTAAGTGTGACAGGAATTATTTTTGTTTCATTGTTTGAAACTTAGGAATGATAAATATGGATTCTCCTATATCACGGTCTCAAAGCATTAATCTATAAAACTATAAAAATACGATTTCTCATCTTATAAAAAGTACCATTTCTCGTAAGATTTATCAGAAGTGTGCGGACAACAATATTCAAAAAGTATAGTGGCTATGTAAGGTAAACATGTACTTCTTAATAGAAGTTGCTATATTCATTAAAAAAAAGAAATATCCCATCACAAAATGGATGCGGTATTTTTAATCCGTAATCCACTTAAGCTCCTAATACGTATAATTTTTATTTTATTTTATTTTAAAATTTTAAAATTAATAGGCTATTTAAAATTTCTCACACTATCCAATCTAATTTATTTTTAATTTTTATGTGATTTTATTTATTTTGAAGTGAGGTATTTACAATACAGTTTGGTTCAATTTTATACTAAAATGTCATCTCAACCAAATATATATAAAATTAAAATGTTTTAATTTGGTTTGATTTTAATCTTTCAAAAATTTAGTTCTTAAAAAAATTTGAACCAAATCAAATCAATATTTTATAATTTAATTTGGATAATTTTTTTTATTAAATATATTAAAATAAAATAATTATTAAATAAATAAACATATCATAAAATTATATATTTTTTAATTTGATTTAAAATTAATTATAATTAAAAAAGATTAAAACACAACCACATGAATCTCACATTTAATTAGTCCAGTAAAATGTCAAAGACAAATAAAAAAGTTATGAAATTAATTACTAAATTCATTAAAGAAAAATAAAATAAAATATCTAATTAAAATTTATAACAATTCATTTTTTTTTGTTAAAAGATGTTATTATTATATTTTATTTTGATTTTACAAATTCAGATTCTATTATGATAAATTCTATGTCTAATTTTCTAATTTTATTTTAAATTATTACCTAAACCAACCTACGTAATCCATAAATTCAATGCGGGTCGACCCGTAAACTTTGTGTAACTTATCCTAGACTCTTTCTTCCTCCATCCCATAAATATGTTTCGAAAAGCTATTTCAAAAATAGTCTTGTATTATTTTCTTGAGATGCGTTGTATTTTCTGGATATATATTCCAAAAATTGATTCTGAAAATTTTTCAAAAAATTTATGGAATACATTTTCAAAAAATATAATCTAAATTATATAATGTATTTTTGGATTATATTTTCTATAGATGTATTTTGAATTTAATAATCTGAAATTTATTTATGAAAAGTCCCATATGTAATATGTTATTCAGAATTTATTTATTTATTTATTTATTTTGGAAACGTTAGTCTATTCAGAAATTTTTTTTGAATGTATTTTAGATTCAACTATCAAAATCATTATACAAATTAAATACAATTTTTATGAGTTTGGAATGTATAATATATTATATGATTCAAAGCATAAACTACCATCAAATTTTTAACACTACATTAAAGAAAGGATGGTGTTTGAATGAAAATGTGAGTAATGAAGGTGTAAAAAGTGTGAGTGTTGATATGAAAGTGTAAAAAGTGTGAGGGTTGGTACTAAAATATGACAAAAAAAAAAAAAGAAAACTGACTTTTTAAGAATAAGTTATTACATTATAGGAACAAGTTAAAAATGAGATTGAATAATATTCAAAAATATTATAGGAACATGTTTAAGATTAAGTAATACCATTTCTCAACGTGCCAACAGCAATATTCAAAAGTAATAAAAAAATGTAACGGTTACCACTAATATTATATTAACAAATATTATATTAACAAGTTAGAAATGATGATTGAATACCACCACTATTATGTGTTATATTAACTAGGTAGGATGATTGAATACCACTAATATTATATGATATGAACATGTTAGAAATGATAATTGAATAAGATTAAGTAATAATACATCTGAGTAGTAACACAAGCATCAAATACTAAACAAAAAAAATCAATGAACTTGATCGAATATTTTATTTTGTACATAAATGAAAAAAAGTTAAGAAAGAATGTTAACTAAACTAGAGAGCATGTCATCCTATTCGTCATATTATCTCATGCTTAAGTCAATCACCAACTATTAGAAGATTATTCTCGTAGCCATTGTTAGTAACAATAGGACGCAACGGATCTATTTTCCATTCTCCGTCTACAATGAACTTCATCTGCCACACCAGGAAAACATGTATCAGAAAAGCAATTGTCTAAAACCTGCAACAACTGCAAAAACTAAAACATCGCAGTATATCTTCAGTAGGTTAAGAAGTCATTAGCAGACTAACCTCGTATCTTCCAGGATATAATTGCAAACTAACAGAAAATATACCACTCTTTAATCTCTCCATCCTTCTCTGCAATATAATTACTATAAATATTTTATGAACTCAAGTCAATTGCACTTAATAAAATAATTTCAAAAACATAACAAAATTATTAAATGCTTAAGTATGCATTCGACATTGAAATGCATAAGAAATTTTTACACACAACAAATAGTAATACTTAAAATTATAATTGATTTTTGCAAAATACACTGTTAAATAAAAAAATTTATTTTAAATTTTATCAACCTCTGTCCCAAAAAGAGCATAGAACATAAAAGGAACATAGAATGGAATGAAACCCATTTCTAAGAAGTTGTACTACGAATAATTTTATTAATCTATTTATACTATATTTTTGCTATATTAGTTTAACAGTTAAACTATTTTTAATTAAAAAAACTTTTTTTTTTTGAAAAAAATACAAACATATCTAAAAACAAAAACAAGTAAAAAGTTATGGAAAGAGATTAAACCTTATTTGACCAACCATCAAATGACCCTGTTAAAAATACTTCTGAAGCATTATTTGGCCAAACTACACAAGTAGTCTTCAGCATTTGCAAAACTTTTTGAGCATTATTAATCTTCAGTTGCTTCTCTTCGACTACCTTATGTGCATCCCTGAAAGAAAAGGATGTGATATTGTCAATATGTTATTTATGTATCTCTATATAATTGAATGGTGTCTCGTATACATTATTGCCAATGACATCTTTCCTTCGAGGACTGCCAACTTAGCCTGTATAGAACGCAATCTGTCCTGAGCATTCATGATCTCATTTTCCTGAAATTCCCAAGCATCGGAAAGCTTTGCCAGTTCTTCACAAGAGCTCTTCTGGACCTATTAAAGAATATGCAACAAGCAGATCAGGACTAATTTAGGATCTTATAGGCCTTCACAATAATGAAAAACTATTACGAGGATGGTTATTCTAGTTTATTTTCATTTTCAGTAATCCAAACGAAATACGTGTAGCTAAAATCAAGCAAAAAAAATTGTTCAATGTCTTAATTTGTTATCAATTTATGCCTATGAAACTCCTTGCTAAATGTACACAGTCACACAAAAAATATTGGACAAAAAAAAGCAATTAACTATTAATTACACAATCAAGCAAAAAATACTAGAAAAAAATAAACAATTAACTATTAATTAATTTTTGTTGAGTATTGACGTGCGTGCTTCTCTCAACCTAAAACAAGTTGCGCACAAAAGTCCCCTCTGCCCTCCAAAGAGGGAGCAGCAAATTTTCTATTTATTTATCCTCAGATTAGTCAGGACTAAACTTTTTGCAAAGCAAAAAAATTGCTATGAAGAGTAAACGAACTTCACTAGTGCTTAACTAAGACAGAGAAATGCAGCAAAGTCCAGTATTTGATAGACTCACCATCTGCATTGTAAATTTATCTGAATTGGACCTCAACAAGTGAAGTATAGAAGATAGCTCAGATTCCAGTTGCTGGATACGAGATTTAATGTCATTGTGAATTGCATTTCCATCAAGAGAATATAATCCTGTTTCATTTATAAGTTCAGACGAAAACTCCCTTCTGTCAGGGATTTCAGGTTGTCCTGAAGTATGAATCATGCCTCCTTTCTGAGTTTCAGTTGGAACAATATCAGCATCTGTTACGTCATAAGTACAAAGATATAAGTTGATACCGACTACAATAAGGTATGATTTGAAAATGTAAACTAGATACCTTCGAAATCTGCATCCGGAAAACCATTTCTCTGAACAATCCAACTCCTCCACATCTCTGGCTTAAGTGAGTTTATTGAATTTTTTATTGAATTTTCAGTACCTAATTGAGAACTCTGAGAACCACTGGGATGATTGCTTGAGGGGCTCGATGCTCTTCTACCATTTTCAAGGCCACCAGTCATCTATATAACAGAGGAGATACCAAAACAAATACTTTAAAATTCTAAAGTAGTGAGGGCATAAAAAATTTAATATTTCAAAAACTTCTCCCAGCTTCAGGGTACAACTCGTTGACATGTGCATTGAACGATAAATCTATAGCTTAATTAAGCTTAATTGATTGTAGAAATATATAATAAAAGAAACGTAAGAAATATGAATGTTATATAGAAAATTTCAACCTTCAAATGTTCTATAACTTGAAAAAACAAACAAACAACCAAAAAAGACTATTTGAAGGGGATACAATTCACTTACTGCATCCGTAGCCGTTCTATGATCCCATTCATTCTTTTCTTCACTATTTATGGAAGAAATAGTATCTACGACAAATCCAAATGATCTACTTCTTTGTTTCTCCAACCGATTCAATATACCCTCAATGCCAGATTCATTGTCAGCTTCAATTTCTCTGTATAATAGAAAGTAACACTCAGGACACCCCTTGTCGCTTGAAGTATATCTAACTCATCTATTTGACGACAGGAACAATGCAATGGCAAGAAATAAAAAAGTGCATACTTATAAATGACCTCATTATTGCTAAATTAAGCAACAACAGCCAAGCCTTTTCCCACTAGTTGTGGCCACACTGATAAAACAACACCATAATATTCTATCATAACTTATATCTACAGCTAAACTACTGTACTCTAAATCTCAGATAATGGTTTTTCGGATAACCTTATTTGGTCTCAATCCACCAGGGTTTCAACATATTTTCTCCACACATGCTTAAACTACCTAAGACAAAGCCCCTACCATCTTTACCATAATAGGTTCTAGTGCCACCACATCCTAATCCTATATTGTATACTACATCATCTAATTCAAGCAACATTCTTATTCCTACTATATTTAGTTCATTTTCTTGTTGGTTTTGTATGACCTATCATTCAATTCCACGCAACATTGAAAGTCTTATAACTATGCAGTATATTTACCCCTTAAGCTTCACTTATATTTTCTGTCAAGAACAACAGTCCTCCATTTCATCCAACCTGCTAGAACCTTGCTGACAAATTAAAGCCTCCAAAGCAAGAAAATTCCAAACAAACACAAACGCGGGAAAGTGGGAAACAGGGTGCCATAAAGCAAAAGTCAAGAAAGAGGTACATCATTACGAGGGATCCTCACACTGAACAATCTGTTTCGGAAGAAGAAACCCCAGAAGCCCGAGTCGCATTACCCTCAATTCCACCGCTACTATTACCTTCATGACTGCGAGTTCCACTGGACCCACCGTTTAATTCCCATCCAAACGCAAGCCACCCTCCCTCGTTTACAATAGCGTTGACCAAATCTACCCTCCCTGCAGCAACCAACTCCTCTTTTGTGGGAAAAGCTTCGGGCTTATCGGAACTCTGCATAAACTCTAGAATTTGGGCTTCGAGAGAGGAAAACTCTCCTCCCCAGTCTTTGCACCGCCGCAAGAATCCAGTGCAGGACCAGCACAAACCCTTATGACAGGTTTCCCTCCAGGAAAAATGGAGAACCGAACCAGGTTCGACAGCGAACCGAAACGTTCGTCGGATCGAGCCGGGAAAATAGAACGGTGGAACGAGGGAAGGAGTCAGGTGCGGCGAGAACAGTAAAGGGGAGGATGCGGTAAAAAAATACATGATTGGAGCATTTCGTCGAACAGTTACAAGGCGAAGCAAGAAGAAAGAGTAATGCGCGCGAGAAGAGAATGAAGGAAACAAAAATAGCGAGTCCGCGAAAGAAGCAACGAATAATGCCTCCAGCAGAAAGAAAAAGACGATACTACTTTTGTTGGTATTGTTGTTATGATTGTTACCGCATTCACTGTTTCTGTTATCCACTTCTTCATTAGGCACATTGCTCATGGAATACGCAACAAAGAAAGACACGTGGAGAAACCCATGTGAATGCAATCACGTTGAAACATAACATTTTAATAACTTTTACACTTTATTTTTCATTTAAAAAAAAATTAAAGTTAAAGCTTTATCAGTTAATAATAATATAAAAATTATACTTCCAGATAAATATATTGTTTTCTGCTTTTTAAAGTTTACTAAAGTTACTTTATTATTAGTTTTATCATCATACTTGGTCAAAATTATTAAATAAGTGTTAATATATACTATAAAGTATTACATTTGTATTTACATGTTTTTCGTATTGATTTTTAATTAAAATTATGATTTCAGCTTAATTAATTAATAAAATTAAAATTAAATATCAATACTAATTATTGAGATAATTTTATTATATAATAATATCAAAATTGTCGATAAACCCGTTCCTCTAACATTAAAATCAGAATTGTCTCTAAATTATAACTTATTAAAAAATATAAATAAAGTTTAGTCAATAATTTTTTTTACTTGATAGGTAAGATTCAGTCCACCTATTTTAATAATTATATATGAAATTAAAATACTTTTTCATAAAAAAATTAACACTTGTTATACAATCAATAGTAAAATCTCGTTTCACTCTTTCTATTTCTTAATTTTTAATTAAATAATAAATTTTAAATCTAACAGTACCTTGAAAAGTATGCTGATATATCTTAACAATTCTAATATAACAAATATTAGTTCATGATATTCTCTGGAATAAAACAAAATACAAAAATATTATTTATTTGAAAATCAAATAATAAGTAAGTTTTATTAAAAACATTTTAAATTATCGGTAAAAATTTACCTAATAAATTTATATCCGTCGATCAATTTAAATTATCGAAAAAAATTTACCCGAAATCATTTTACTTGAAAATTAAAATTATTGATAGAAATTTTTATTAATAATTCATCGATAAGATTCAATTTCACTATCCACAAATATATCTACCAGAAAAAAATGAACAAATAAAATTTATACACTGATTCAATTCGTCGACATTATATTAATTTTTTAAGATAATTAATAATTATTAACGTATTTTTTATTTAATTAATAAAACTAACTCAATATTTATTTAATAAATAAAAATTAATATATTAACTATTTATTTAATAAAAATTTCTTTATTAATTATAAAATAGTAAGTATTAATTATTTATCTCATAAATATTAATATATTAATCATTGAATTAAAATATTAATTTATTAATTATTTAATGAAAAATTTAATCTATTAATTATTTAGTTTATAAATATTATTATTTAGTTATTCGATTAATAAATCCTGAATTATTAATTATTAATCAATTAATTATTTATTAAATAGATATTAATTTATCAATTATTTAACTTATATGTTTTAACTATTTAATAAATAAATTACAGTTTATTAATAGTGTAATTAATATATAATAATATTTGTTTAAAAACTTGTTATTATTACTGAAATTTATATTGAACGTAAATATTAAAAAATATATATATAAGTATATATTGATATTGTTTAGCTTTTCTTTTAGTTTAAATATTTTTAAAAGTTATTATTAATAATTTTTACAATAAATATCAACAATATTTTATTATACTATAAAATATTTATTATATATTCAAATGTTTAAAATTTTAAATACCATACTAATTTTACAATAATAATATTAAAATATGTAATTTAAATTCATATAATTATATATATATATATTAATATACTAAATATTTTATCAAAATTAAAAAAATTATATTAATTAAAGAAGAATGATAGGATAATTATTATGAATTTATTTTATAATTTTTATTTTATTTATTTAATATTTATTTGAGCAGAACAATTTTATTTTTTGAGTGCGTACAAAATGTACTTAATTTATTATATTATTTAATAGTTAACTTTATTTTACCAAATAACGAAAAGGGGTATCTGATAGTCAAAGATCATCCTCGTTTATTCGGCTTCTGATGTTTTTCACACCCAATACTCCTATTCAACTACTCAGGATAATAATAAAATAAATAAAAATATTATAATAAGACATATAGAGAGAAGGGAATTGTAGAATGGATAATAATAATAATCTTATAATAAGACATATAGAAGGAAAAAGAATTGCAGAATGGATATTTGTATAAATGAGTTGTCAACAAAAAATTTCCCATTTCTCTCTGTCTCTATGGGTTGTGAACTTGCAATGGCTGGAAACACACTCACACACAGTACAAGAACAAACCATCCCTACCCACTCAAAAAGAAATGACTCGAGAGCAAACCTCCACCCACATCCAAACGACGGGTGAAGACAATGGCTAATGGCTGTGACGATGGCGGAAGCGGCAGCGACACGGTCTCACACCCAATCCCCCTCCACGGCCTTCCTCTCCCTCATTATTCGCCTCCTTTTCTCCGCCACCAACCCCAACAAGGTCGGTATTCGGTACGGCCAGTCCAGCATCAATGTCCGTATTGCGGCACCCCCTTGGCAAAGCCACTATCCCTGGCTTCTTCCAATAACCCCACAACACTTGCCAGGTCATCGCCGTTTGATCGAATCAATCTCCTCCAGGCAGACGCCGCCGACTTGATCCGTGATGCCTCCCTCAACGACTGCGTCGACCTCTGCGTCTTGGGCAACGTCGCCTTCAAGATCTGCATCATGAACTTCGATTCCCTGACGTTCAGGTAACACACTCATTCCCTTATTCAATTTCCCATTTGTTCTTCAATTTGTCGCTTCCCCTTCGTCCAATTTTAGCATTGTTATATACCGTAATAACTTTCCCAATTTAGGCCACCTCACATTTTCACTCTCGCTTGTAAATTAATTAAACTTGCATCATCTTCTTTGCAAGCTTCATTTTCTTTTTCTTTTTAAAGTGAAATTGAAGGTTGTGGTTCATGACAAAGATTAAGAGTGAGTGAGTGAGAATGAATGCGGCGGAGGGTGGTTGCAATTGTGAATTCCATTACCCTCTATCACACTCTGCTTTTTCTTTCCTTCTCCATAATTTGTTAGTTGTTATTTCGAAGTCACTTTTTATTTTACTCTAAAAGTGAGATATGTTCTGATCTTGGTGATAATTCAGAGTCCAATTTGAGCATGGTTCTGATTAAAAGAACAACTATCATGAGTTAATTAAAAGCTTGATTGTTCAACATGATTCCAAAATTTCAAGTAATTGAGTTATTCTCTATTAGGAAGACATTCACAAGCTCCCCCGTGTTGGAAGTTGGAATTGCCTTGTTATGGGCTCTATTTAAGATCCTTATCATACCATCGTTTCTTCTTCAATGCAAGTATAATGTTTCCATTTGATGTAGTGAAGTAACACGACTTAAAATGAAAATATTTAGTTATAAAGGTTATTTGGTGTTTTGATTGTCTTTAGTATACATAAATGTATTAATTAATAGTCGCTTACAGGGGATTTAGCTGTTGAATTTGGAAAGCACTTTGTTCTTCAATGCAAGTATAATGTTTCTATTTGGTGTAGTGAAACAATGCTTAAAATGAAAATATTTAGTTATGAAGGTTATTTGGTGTTTTGATTGTCTCTGGTGTACATAAATGTATTAATTAATAGTCCCTTATAGGGGTTTAGCTGTTGCATTTGAAAAGCATTTTTTAGCTTATGAAGGTCTGGCTAGACATTTGTATTAACAGCGCGGAGATTAGTAGTTCTATACCATTCCAAAAGGATCAAACAGATGATGGCACTAGAACATGGCAACACACTCGTAATGTGACTTTCATTGCTGTTATTGATTCCACTAGCCTTGCAGTAAGCTCAAGATGTCACCTTATTTATCCAGTATCCTTGGACTAATTATTTGCTTTATGTTGTGAAAAGAAAGTTGGTTCACATTCTAAATGACAAAAGGATTAAAGTTTAATCCCGGGTAATCACATTATAGATCACGTACTTAAATTCACCATTTTTTGTTTAAATGAATGAAAATGAGCTATATCATTGTTTATTGTTGGCATTCATTATTTTGTTTTGATAGATTAAAGCCATGGAAGCTGCCAAAAGACCAGGTGTGATTATCAACTTGTCATATACTCGCTTTGATCAGGGTATAATCCTTGAAAACAAATTTAAAATAATGAATTTATCACACAAAAGAGCTTAAAGACCTATTCAATTCAATTTAAGTGAAGTTGTTAACAACATGAGCATTGATACGTGTGGATGACCATTGGGCTTGAAGTAGGGATCAAGCAAGAGTCAGGGTTCCCTTGGTCTAAAATTTAAAACTGCTATTGTTTAGAATCGATTATGAGATAATTAAGAGAAACTAAGTAAACTTTGTGTCTCTTGCAAATAATGCCTAAGTCCAACTTTTATTTAAATATATCTTAAAATTTTCATCTTACAATACCTAGGATTATGATTCATGTTTTCTCTTCAACCAGATTAGTGTTTTTTTAGGGTAAAATATATGTTGGTTTTGTTTTTTAATTTCAATTTTGTGGAAGTTGACAAGGAACATTGGTGATTTGGTTGGATTTTGATTGGTTGTGGAATCAACTTCTGATTAGATTATATTATAATTTTTTTGAATTTGGTTGAATTTTGATTGGTTGCAGAATCAACTTCTGATTAGATTATATCATAATTTTTTTGAATTTGATTGAATTTTGATTGATTATATATTTGGTTGGACGGTTATATATATTATTTTTTAATGCTGAATAAAAGTTATTGACGGATAGATCATTGATAAATCCATTGATAAAACACTTCGGTATTTACTAACGAAATTTTTTTATGTTGATAAGTTTTGATTATACTTATCGATTGATATTTTTTTTGGTAATTATTGATGGATATTTAAAATACATCACTAATAATTACAGACTACAAAATTATCAATGAATTTATGAAAATCTGTCGAAATCATTCTTTTCAATATATTTTTAACATTTCTGACGAATTTTCTGTGGGCAATATTTTTTTCTTGTTTATCAAAACATAAAATAAGTATTTTTGAAATACATAAAATAAGTATTTTTTTCTAATTTATAATATTGATAAATTTATTTTTTAAAATAATAAAAAATTATTTATTAAACAAGATAAATATTTTTATTTTATTAGAAAAACAAATTTACCCTATATAATAATAGATAAATTGGTTATTTATTATTTTATAGTCAACATTCCTTGGCGTTACTCTCTTTGATACGCATTATAATTCGTTACAGTATAAATTCTAACATTTTATAACGTCGTGTAATATTATTTAAATTGACAGAGTTATTCATTATAATTTTTTACATGTTTTATTATAGTTAGCAATTTTGATAATATTGAAATTGTTTTAATATTCCTCGCCACTATCACCATCCAATTTCCCTTTAATGTAACAATATGAATATTTTATTTTAAGAATTAGATTCTGACATTGCCAAGCAGAATATATTCCATGATGGTTTTCAACCTCAATGAGAAAAAATAATGCATATTTGAATTGAAGATAAATAAAAAATTAAGTCAAGTTGAATTACATATTCTTCTTCCAAACTCATACATGAAGCAAATCAAGTTGAAATATTTAATTAACCCTGTGTATCTATTAAGGAATTAAAATTCCAATTTTGATAATGAATTATATAATACTATCATTCAACACATATGAAACAACCCAACACACGATTTAGTTAAGATCTTTTATATATGTACTCAAAATATAAACTCGCCCAAATCTATATTTGTGTTTTTACTCTACTTTTAAATTTTCTTATTCATAGGTATATGTATAAAAAAAAATTCATTTGCAAGTTTTTTTTATCCACTGTTCAGCTCTAGAAACAAAGAAAATAAGGGAAAATAAACAATGTTGTATCTAATTTAATTGAATTTTTGTATGCATAATGCACAATTTAATTTAGAAAAGAAAAAAAAAAATCAAACCAAACTAAGTGTTGCAATCATAATGGACGATAAAATAAAGTTTCTAAATGAAAGAAAAAATAACGGAGTTGTCACTAATATTTATTTTAAGGAAAAATATCAGAAAAAATCTTCAAAAAAGAAAAAAAGGAGTCTACGAACTAAGGATTTGATTCAGGAGTTGATTATGTATAAAGAAGGTGTTAGCACCTTACAACATCCGTTCTAAAAAAAACAGTTACCTTTAATTAGATGTAAAAAATTAAGTATCTTAAAATTATCTATTTTATCCATCGATTAGATATCTTAAAACCAAACAATTTTTTTATATTATTAGTTTGATAGAGATCATCTCCCTGTTCCTATGTATCCTTAGGTGTAATGGAGAATCAAAGTAAAATAGTTTTCTTTTATAAAAAATGTATTTGTGAGTAATTTATTTAAATTTATTTATTAGTGTTGATAAATTAAAAGTATACTTAAGATAATTATGAAATAAACAAATTAGAAGTGCATCTAAAGTGATTATTGTTTTTTTTATAATTTAAGAAATAATTAAATTGAAAGTACATCCAAAGTAATTATTAATATTCAAATATTTTTAATTATTAAATTTATCATCTCTTTTTGTGGATTTAAGATACTTTAAAAATCAGTATTTATTATAATGAAATCAAAAGTACATTTGAAGTGATTATTATAAATTTATGATAATCAAATTGAAAGTACATTCAAAGTAATTAATTAATAATTTTTATATAATTTTAAGTAATAATTAGTTTAAAATGTGTCATAAACGAGTTACTACCATACTTAAATCCTTTTGAAATTTATTGTATTAAAAATGTAACATTTTAAATTAATTTTTATAATGATCAAATTAAAATCCGTTCAAACTAACCATAAAATTTTAATCTTACAATAATTAAATCAAAATTGTAATTATATTTGAATAAATAACTTTGTAAATTTATTAGTTCTAATTAAAAAAGAGGTTGTAACACAAAAAAAAAATTAATTGTCACTAATGTAAAATATTATTCATATACTTATTTGTTGATTTTAAATAAAGAAAAAAGGAAATAATAATAATAATAATAATATAATAAGATAATAATAATAATAATTTTTGTTTTTGTAATTTATTTTATTATATTATTCAGTTTAAAATAGAAAAGAAAAAATATTAAGCCCAATAACTCATAAAAAATAGGAGTCGTAGGAGACGAGATTCGTAGAGGGGTTAGGGCCGCTAGGTGAGGCGCGCACGACTAGGATTCAACTGAGGGAGATGAGAGTGCTACGGTAGTTTCCGGTGAAGGGAGACAATCCACGGTGGAATTGGCTACGCTATGACTTGCGATGGTTAGCGAGAAGTGGTTCGCAGATTCAAGTGGTGATGATGGTTGGAAATAACGGGTGAGGTGCGGAGGAAACAACCATAAGGGTAGCACACGGTGAGCGATGGGTGTGGTTCGATGGCAAGGGGTGATTCGTGACTGAAGACACCTATTAGAGTTTGTGGATGATAATGAGCGGCTAGGGTTCTGGTGAAGGAGATGGGAGTTGAGACTGTGTGAGTTTAAATCTGGGAATGGGTGAAGGAGAAGGGCTTTGCTACCGGAAAAAAGAGGATGGATGAGGTGGAAACCACGTGTCGTGGCTAGGCTATGGTGGTCGTCGATGGTGCGGTGGCGGCTGGTGGTGGTATGGTGGGTTTACCGTGGTGGCCGCCGGTGAGTTAGTAAATAATTTTTTTTGTTTTAATTTTTATAATTTTTATTAATCGTTATAAAATATACACACAATTAGGAATTGGGATTGTTGTGGTTGTATTGGCTAAGGGTTCTCTGATATGGTGGGTGTTTACGTTTGTTTGTGATAATCTCTCTTTTTCAAGTTTCTGTTTTTTTTTTAAACCAAGTCCCCCTCCTCTTTTTTTGAAATCTCCCTCTCAATTTATACAAGCCAACTAGAGCTGGAGCTTAGGGTGGCTGGGAGGAGACTGTAGGGTGGGCTGGAGGGTGGGCTGGTTGTCCGGTGATAGCTGGTGGCTTAGGGTAGCTGGTGGTCGTAAGGTGGCTGTTTTTTTTTATTATTTTTTTATTATCTGTTTGGTGTTTACAGTTGCCCCTCTTTCCAAAAAGTTAAAAATTTAGAAATGGACTCGGGGATGTATGCAAATATAAATAAAATTATGATTTGAAAACTTGACGATGGACTCGGGATCCAATATTGTGATTGAAATATGTAAATATGAAATTGTGATTTGAAAAAGTTGAAAACTTAGAAGAAGTGGACTCGGAGATCCGATATTGTGATTGAAATATGAAAATATAAATATTGTAATTTTGAAAAAAATTGAAAACTTAGAAGTGGACTCGGGGGGCCCAATATTGCGACTGAAATATGACGATTGAAATTTAGAAGTGAGTTCGTATACTTAGGGCTCAGGGACCAAATACAAAGTTGTGATTTGAAGTGTTGAAAGCTTGGAAAGTAATGCATATAATTTAAACCTTATAAGAGGCATGGGAAACCTTGTAAGGGATATGAGAAGCTAACATGAATATTTCTGCACCCTCCAAGCACAAGTCTGATTACTTTAGGCACGAGGACCCGGTAGTCTAGATAGATGTATGTTGAATGGAACAAATGTTAAATAGTTATTTATTCTTAACTTAAACAAGTAATGCATGATACTTAATTCACAAATAAAGTGCATGATATATAATTTATAAATAAAGTGCATGACATGTGATTCATAAATAAAGTATGATATGTAATGCATAATGTGTGATGTATGATATACAAATTCATGATGGTTGCATGTACTTTTAAATAATAATTTTTGTTTTATTATTATTATTTATGTATAAATATATTTTTTTATTTTTTATTTTTTTATGCATATTTTTCTATGCCTTGTCCCCTTAAGATTTCGAGTGTATCAAGATTCATGAAGGGAAGCAGTCTTTGAAATGTATTGAGTTCGTCTTCTTCAATCAGATCATGGTTATGCTTTAATATTTCGAATAAATGGTCATCATTGCCCACATCACTTCATTTTTTTTTCATTATAATGCATTTTTAACATTATGATATGTCCTTTTATTTGTATATTCATGATAAAATGACATAAATAGGTGGTGGTTGAGACAACTTTTTATTACTAGGAATGGAAAGAGTACATACAGGAACAATTTTGTTTAATGAATACATGGCAAGTTGAGGGTTTTTTTTTTGTCACAATGTTAATCTTCATATTTACAATTTTGAAGAACTCATCCGTCAACCCTTGCAAACATATGACAAATTTGGTTTCATCCCTTGAGTAGCTTTGTGTATATCAATCTTCTTACTTGCCTCCGCTTTTTGAACTTTCGGCATTGTAGGTCGCTTTGGCTTTTACATAGACCATCTTTTCAAGTTTTCAGTCAAGTAATTTTATTTGCCCCTATTTTGCCTAAACTGCTCCTTCCGAGTTTTTAGCTTATCGGGTTGTTCAATTGTGCCTAGACCGTCTTTCCAGATTTTCAGCCTAGCGAATCCTTTTTCTTTTTCTCTCTTTTTTATGCATAGTATTGCTTAACTACGTCAGAATTGATTAGAAGTGATAAATCTTTACCATCCATGTTTGAAAGGACAAGAGCACCTCCTGAAAAAGCTTTCTTTACCACATATGTTCCTTCGTAATTTGGCGTCTACTTT